AGCAAAATCAGCAGAAATGGTTCGAAAAGTAAAGAAACGACTTGATCGAAACCCGCGTCGCAGTGGACGATAAATAGCTCGTGAGCTGAATATATGGCAATATTCCATTCGGCAAATATTGAAAAATGAGCTCGGGATAAAGCCACTGAAATTCCAAAAAGTGCAAGAACTTACACCGCAACAGAAAGAAAATAGACTCAAAAGAGCTAAAGAGTTACTTCGCTTGGCCGAAAGTGGTGAACTGCCGAATTTGGTTTTCTCCGATGAGAAAACATTCGTTGTCCAGCAGTTTGTAAACGAAAAAACTGATTGTGATTACTTGAAAAAGAGGTCAGCTGAAAATGTGCACCTTCTGTTGGCCACCAGAACTCAAGCGCCGGCCATGGTGATGTGGGCCGCCATAACAGCCGATGGTCGCTCTCCGCTCGTATTAATCGATCGAGGCATCTGAATAAATGCCGAATATTATCGCGAAAATATTCCGGAGGGTGTATTAAAGCCTTGGGCACGCAAACATTTTGACCGCACACCTTGGACATTCCAACAGAACCCAGCAACATTACACTCAGCACGCGCCACCCGAGATTGGTTACAAAATGAGGATCCTCGCTTCATTTCCAGCGCCAATGGCCACCACAATCTCCGGATACCAATCGGTTGGACTATTGTGTCCGGAGTATATTGGAAAGCAAGGTTGGCATTAAGAAATACCAAAGTGTCGACCACCTCAAGCAAGCGCTTCGCCGGGAATGGGCCAAAATACCGCAGAGCAACATTTGGGCAGTGTGTGACAGTTTCATTGGCCGTTTGAAGGCCATAATTCGTGCCAAAGGTGACCAATTCGAAAAATCTAAACTTATTCTAAAATTTGATGCCATTTTCGAATTTTTTTTCTTTCATTCAATAAAATTAGAAAAAAAAATTAAAAAAATGACATTTGACTTTGTTGCAGTTTTTTTATCTCACCTTGTATATATATAAATATTTAGCGGACCATATAGAAAATGAAAGAAAAGAAGTCTTATTGTCCAAGAGATCTTCTTCAGGCCTCTAGCTGATGAATGTATGATGAAAGACCTTTCAGATGACGTATGAATAATGGTTCTTCCAACTTCATGTGTTCACGAGCGGATGTATGTTCTAGACAATTTATCTTTCCTCAAATAAAAAAAGTTGAAATGTCAGGAGGCGACCTGACATTCTGAAAGTTCTGAATACTACTCCACTGCGTAGCACTACAATTCCCAGACCACACTTTCAAGACATAGCTAAACACTGGCCGACCAATCGCTATATTAGAGAGATCAGCAAGGTCTTCTTGTCTGCACCTACCTTATTCCAACTTTAAAATTATGACAGGAAGTTAATACTTGACTTTATGTCAACAATATCAAGTAAAAAAGCTGTAAGTTCGGCTGGGCTGAACTTTAAATACCCTCCACAATTAGGGACGAGATTTAAAAAATCTGTTAAAACCTTAAAAATACCCAATGTAGCCGTTATATTAGGGTCTATACGACGATGTGGACCTGCATAGGCAATTTTTGTCATAAGCCATTACAATATTCAAATGCGAAACTTGAAAAAATTCGGTGAATAATGTAGCTAAAATCATCAAAAACCGAATATAGGGAGGTACCGTTATATAGGAGATATACGAAGACGTGAAGAATCTGGCAGTTAGGTGGGGGCTAAACCAAAAAGTAGCCGTATGGCTAAAGAGGGCTGCATACCGAAAATATATGCCTGGCTGTTGTGCACGATAACTCTCGCAATTAGTATGCGGTTCGGGCCAAACTTGTCACATCCTAATATTTTTGTCAAACTCAGATCAAGTTCGAAAATGGGTAAAATCGGTCCAATTCTTCTCCTTCTGGAACCCCTAGAAACGATAAAAATTGACAAAAATAAAAGAAATAAAACTGAATAAGATATTTGATTTCGTTAAAACTTGCAATATTGCTCCTGTCATAGGCTGCAGCATCCATTACGAACATCCAATACAAAATTTTAAACAATTCCGGTGAATAATGTCGTTAAAATCATTAAAAGCCGAATATAGGGAGGTTCACGTATATGGGGCTATACGCAGACGTAGACCTGCACAGACAATTGTCTGTCATAGACTGTAGTATCCATTACGAACTTCAAATACCAAATTTGAAGCAATTCCGGCAAATAATGTCGCTAAAATCATCAAAAACCGAATATCGGAAGGTACCGTTACATGAGGGGTATACGTAGACGTGGACCTTCACAGACAATTTTCTGTCATAGGCTGTAGTATCCATTACGAACTTCAAATACCAAATTTGAAGCAATTCCGGTGAATAATGCGCTAAAATCATCAAAAACCGAATATCGGAAGGTACCGTTATATGAGGGCTATACGTAGACGTGGACCTGCACAGACAATTTTCTGGTATAGACTGTATAAGCAATTCCGGTGAATAATGCGCTAAAATCATCAAAAACCGAATATCGGAAGGTACCGTTATATGAGGGCTATACGTAGACGTGGACCTGCACAGACAATTTTCTGGTATAGACTGTAGTATCCATTATGAACTTCAAATACCAGATTTGAAACAATTTCGGTGAATAATGTCGCTAAAATCGTCAAAAACCGAATATAGGGAGGTACCGTTATATGGGAGCTGTATGCGTAGATGTGTACCGTTACATGGAAGCTGTATGCGTAGATGTGGACCTGCGCAGTCAACTTTCTGTCATATGCTGTAGTACCTATTACAAACTTCAAATACCAAATTTGAAACATTTCCGATGAATAATGTCGCTTAAATCACCAAAATACCGAAAAAGAAGGTACCATTATATGGAGGCTATACCAAAACGTGGACCTACATCACCAATATTCAATATCAAAAATCCTGCAGACATAATACACATTTGAGTAAAATTTTTATCAACCTACTTCATTTCGTTCGGAAGCTAGAGTGATTTCCACAGACGGACGGACATCGCTAAATCGACATAGAATTTTATACTGATCAAGAATGTGGTGGAGTCTAAAATGTATATTTCGAGGTGTTACAAACGGGATGACAAACTTAATATACCCTCCATACAATGGTGGAGGGTATAAAAAGAAAGGCTTGCAACATAAAATCTTCTTCATAGAATTGAAACACAAGTGTTTTTTTTTTTTCGTTTTATTTTTTTATTAATATTATAATATCCATTTAATATATATTGATATATCGATAATTACTTTTGATGTTGAAATTTTTCATAATTTCTGGTTAAAATGTATTTATGCTGCGTGGGTTTTGTATGTGTGTCTTGTTTTTTCTTTATTTCATTTCAATTAGCAAAAATTTTGAAAAATGAAATTTAATTTTTAATAAATTTAAAAAGCTAATATCACAAATAAAATTTAGTTTATAGAAAAAAAAATTAAAAACAATCTGAACGAATGCATCGTTTTGATGAGTGAAATGAATAATTGATAAAAAAAATTCTTTTCTGTTTGGTGCATGATTATGTTGGTCGAAATCTTAATTAAAAAAGAAAAAACATTAATGAAATGAGTGGAGATAATAAAATTAAATAAATGTCTATATTTGTTACTTATAAAACAAGTTTTATTGAGGCAACTTTTTGGTAAAATAATTTAGAAAAATATTTTAAAATAAAAAACAAAATACCTGTAGTTTGCATTATTTAATTATTACAAACATAATTTTAATTGGTATAACCAATACATTGTTATAATTATAAATTATAATATCATTTTTTTTATTTTGTTGTAAACAAAGGCAAACTATTAATATTATATTATTAAAAATGTATGGCTGCCTCAAAATATAAAAAATAAAATATATGTATCAAAAATAAAGTCTCAATATGTGTATACCTTTTATTCATATCTCTTCTCTCTCTCTCTCTTTCTCTCTCTCTTTCTCTCTCTCTTTCTCTCTCTCTCTCTTTCATTCTGTAATGGTCACTTTTTATCTTAAAGGTATATCTCTTTGTGTACAACTAAGGTGATGGATAGAAATGATGTTACAATAAAAAAAATTACAACCGTAACGTCAACAATTTTAGCAAAACACTAAGGAGTATTGAAGTGCACACGGTGCCTTAGCCAATATTAAGAATCCAAATATTTTTTAACAAGAAATCCAGATCGGAAAAGTCTTCATTTAAAAGAAAATTGACACAGTTTATAAAAGAACAAGTAAAAAAACATTAAGTTCGGTCTCCACCTTAGGGTAAAGGATACCTTTGACACACAAATACCAATTTTTAGACATATTCTTGAGAAAATGCGGCAAAAATCATTAAAATACCGTATATTGGGAGGTACCGGTATATAGGGCCCATTAGAACCCACAAACACTAATTTTTAGACAAATGAGCGAAGAAATGTGGCAAAGATCATCAAAATACCGAATGTCGGGAGGTACCGTTATATGGGGGCCATACCAAAACGTGAACCTACATGGCTCATTTTCAATACTAAAAGTCCTGCAGACATAGTATACATTTGAGTAAAATTTTATCAATCTACTTCATTTCGTTCGGAAGCTAGAGTGATTTCCACAGACGGACATCGCTAAATCGACATAGAATTTTATCCTGATCAAGAATATATATACTTTGAGGGGTCTAAAATGTATATTTTGTGGTGGAGGGTATAAAAATGTTTCGATAGATTGAAACATACTTCAAATAGTAGAGAATCATTCGCCTTTGCTCAGATTATACTTGCTGTCAGGAGGACGGGGCAAGTAATGGACAATAGTTTTAACAATGTTTCTATTAATTTCGTTATAAAAATGCATGTTTTTTTTATCAGAATACATGAAATCTAATAGTAGATCTTATATCATGACGGGGTTAAATAAATATTGAATATAATCCAAAATTCTGTTTCTAACTTGGCTTTTGTTTTTTAAAACATTTCATTTACCCCTTAGCAAGTACTAGAAATTATGACATTACTTTTGTGCACATATTTCTTTTTTTCTGGGGGGGGGGGGTGTTAATTTTTAAAGAAAAATAATATCTAAATTAAAGCATACAACTTAAAATATAATGGTGTTAAAAAAAAAGTTGCAATAAACAACAACACAAAATAAAGTAAATAAAAAATAATAAAAACAGTTATTGAAAGTAATAAATAAAAGATCAAATCAGTGTCTTCTTGTTTCGTTTGAGTGGCAATGTGGCAAGGGCAATTATGCTTGAATGCATTTTTTTTTTGTTTATTCAATTTTTAATGCTTGAGATTATATGTATGTTGTTTTATTGTAATAGGAATTATTTGTGTTTGAATATTGTTATTGGATTTTGGTTTTTATTCATTTATTTTTTTATTTTTAACTAGAGAAGCACCATTATTAGTTGTTAGTTAATGTTTCGTTTAGAAACGCCTGTTTTTTTCTCCTCATATTCATTTTGAAGTACCATCACCAAAGTTTCTTTTTGTTGTTGATAATTTTGAATGATTTTTGTTAATTTTTGGAAAAATTTAAAATTACAAAAAACATATATTAATGACTTATTTTGGTCTGATTTTATAAAAATACATACACATGTGGGTACGTATGTAATATGTCTTTCAAGACTAGGACTAGAGTTTGTGTGTGTGGTATGCATGACCGATTAAGGGATTTTTCTTTTTGCAGTCAATACGTCCTACTTTATTTTTGGGACTTTGTCTGACAGCAAACATTCCAAGTATAACTGATTTTAGGAGATTATTCTAAAAAAAATTGTAGTTGTTTTGTTGTTGTTCAATGGCATTTTGAATGAATGAATGAATGATTTGTGTGTTTTGTTTTTAGCACGATTTTGAATCGTATGTTTTTTTTTTGCTTGTTGTCGAAATAAATATAAATTTACATAAATTCTTGTTTACATTGTTAGTTTAAAAAAGATGTTTTTTTTATATAATTACTTAAATTTAGTTGTTATATTTAGAAAACATAACCTAGAAAAAAATTAAAAAAATATATATATAGAGTTACTTTTATTTCATTTTGATATTACAGATCCATAAGTCTATTTGAGCTCATTTTTTGTTATCATCATCTTCTTTCCAAGAAGAAAAAAGAAATACAATATGTGTGTGATATTCGTTTTTTTTTTTTGGGGGGGTTAGCTTTAGTTGTTTTTAAAGATATTGTTGTTTGTTTTAAAAATCACATTGCAAGTTAAAATTGTCGAATTGAATTTATTTTACTGCCTACTTTTAAAAATGTTTACCAATACTTTATTTTACAATATTTTTACTTTTACAAAATTGCCAAGACATTTCTCGCAAAACCGCATCCCTCTCTTCCTCACTCTGAAAACCCAGGAAAATATATCGATCAGATTCGATATTTTGTGAGATGCAACCTACTACATGTACGACATCTTTGTCAATATATGCTCTATTCCACAACTGCAAGAATGTAAAACTTTTTACTGCGATAACCGATTTTTCCTTTATGATATCGAAGAAAATTGCAAAACTAGTAGATTCTTGTAGGTTTTGGAAGAGACCATTAATGGAGCCTATCTCATAACAAAATAAATTCCCCTAAAGCTCACAGTGGATCTGCCGATGGCAAAAACTAGAGACGGTTGCATGCAAAATTCCACATATATGATAAACTCTAAGCTTCTTATCGGTGGTTTGGAAATCAAATATAGCATTCATAATTTTATAATTATTTCAAAATTGTACATTTCTTTATATAGCTCCTGAATTATAGTGATTGGGCATCCCAAAAAACCTAACCTATCTCTTTTGACTACAATTTGTTATGGTCGATACCGAATACCTTACTAAAATAAATTTCACCTCATACAAGGCTGAAAAAAAGGTTGATTGATTCTTTCTTTTAAAGCTGGAACTCTTCAAAATTTGGACAAATAGTACTTGGATACATTGAATATTGTATTTATGCATTGTTATTATTATAAATGCATTTGTTAAGCAAAACAATTTGTAAGCATCTACAGATAACAGTAAAATTTTGCACAGTTTATTACAACATATCGAGCACTCAGACATAACTATGTTCTGTTCCAGAACCCGCAAGCATCTGCCATTTAAGGCATTTAAATATTTGTCACTTGTCTCGTAAGTTCACAAGATTCTCATTCTAATCCAGCCTAGCGATCTAGCTATGTATGTCCGTCTGTCCATGTTAATTTGTAATAACGCTACAGGTCGCATTTATGGCCCAATCCTCACGAAATTGAAAATGGAGGTGGGTTAGAGTCAGAAAAGAAACCTATTGTTTTTAGAGATAATTGCAAAATATTTAGGGTTTGAAATGGAAAATTTTCCTGATTTTGCAGTTGCTCTATAGGCCACAATTATAAACCAATCGACGCGGAAATTTACACGGAGTTAGAGTTTAGGACTGGGCAGAAGTCTACCAATTTGGGCCATCGGACAATATTTTGCGGGTAAAATAGGAAAATTTCCACTAGACCGCAAAAATTTCTAATTCCAGCCAAATCAGAAATACATTAAAAGGTCACTTCTGACTATTACAGTGATGCTGATAGTCAAGAAATCGGATATATAGCAAAATAGGTACAATATATATGTAAAAGAATATATCTTATTTATTCTGCTTATAAGTCAAGAACCGCTGGGCCGATTTTCACAATTCCCATCAATTCGGATTTTCTATTGCCAGAAAAGGTCAAATCTAAAAAAATCGCGGAAAATATACCAATAAAAAAGTTAATATCTTTTGTTACATTTTTTCAATTTTTATCATATTTTTTATTGCATGCGATTTATTCAATTTGACTTACAATTTTGAATTGTATATTTTCTAAATTTTTACACAACGCAACACTACGTTTTGAGGGTATTGCAATTATCGTCCGATCCTCACGAAATTTTGCATGGGGGTAGGGTTTGGGTCAGAATTAAAGCCTATTGTTCTTAAGATGTGCATTTAGGGGTTCAAATGGAATAAAAAAAATTAAATTTTTCTAATTTTGTAGTCGCTCTATTAGCCACAATTAAAAACGAATTGAAACGGAATTTCGCATCAGAAGAGAATTAAAGACAGGGACATTACGTTTGACATTATTTCAAAAACGAAATCTTTTCCAATGGATTTGAACATAAGGGGACTTCGCACATATTTTAGTGTTGTAAGGTCTGTAGCCTTTGCTTACTTATTTTTACATGTATTTGTAGAAAATGTTCACATAACCAAAATCTTTGGTGCACTATTCAAAGACAACAAAAAAAATATATATATATTCAATGACTTCGCGTACATTTGTTACCCAATCCGAACATTGCTACCGGTTTCTATTGTAATTTTTAATTTTTTCTGAATCGCAGTAATAACCTCCAACTGGACACTGAAACGAATATAACACACATACAATTTGTCATAAGTTTCTATTAAATAAAACGGAAAGATAGTTGTAAAATCAACTAAGTATTAATATGATTATTAGAAAAACTCATAAATGTGACAAATTATGATAACAATAATGATGATGATGACGATGATGAATTTGTTGGCGGCTATTGCAGCCATTATCAAAGGAAGAATATTCATTTTCATGAGAATTCTTGTAATAGGAATTTCTATTCGAATTGCATTTGTGTTCCTGACAATAATGATAATAATTATAATTTAAGGAGCTTTGCAGCAACAATGATAGTAATAATCTAAAAGTCTTTGTTACAGAATTTCTTATAGAATACAATAATAAACAACAACAAAATATTTGAAATAAGGAACATACGATAAGAAATAAAGCAGACAATAATGCTGTTAATAATAGTAATCTGCATATAAATGTTGATGTTGTTGTTGTTAGTGTTAGTGTCGGTGTCAAATGAAAACAATGAAATTTGAATATAAAATCAATTATACTAACAATTATCACAACAAACTGCTTGAAAAGACCATTTGCATAGACTTCGCCGCCGCCGCCTATGGATGATGCCACTAACAATAATTGCCGCTTTAATAACTTTGGTAACTTTGGTTGTTGGTAATGATACAAATCTAATAATGGTGATGGCTCTGTTGCTAAAAATGCTGTCGTCCGTTGTTGCCTTTGTCCGCGATATGGTGATGGAGGAAGCCTAATTCTATTTTTAAGAGATTCAATTATTTTCTCATGTTGTTGTGGTTCTCGCTCTGCTTGCATATCATTGCCAATTGCATTGCCTTGTGGTGCATAAAATGGTTTAAAAAATGTCTTCTTGTTCTTGGTTGTTTCGTTAGTAGGCTTAGTAGACAACATTTTCATAATGGCTAAGTGTGTTATAAATATTGGATGATGTAATAGTAGTGGTGCTACTACTAGTAATATTTTATGTGCTTTAGTAATGTTTAGAGGATGTGTATTAAAGTAATCAACTTTTCTAGTTAAAGTTGAGTTAATAATGATGTTGTTGTTTTTGGTGGTGTTGTTGTTGTTGTTGTTGCCAGTGTCATTGTGGTGGTTAATATTAATAATTATTATAATAATAGGAGCATTATAAGTGGGGAAGAATTTGGAGTTTACACAAAACACTAATTGTTCTATAATACTTTGAAAGTGACTTAAATTTAAATATTTATGGTTTTTTGTTTTAATGTCTTCCTGTTCTTTTTGTTTTTCATGTTCTCCCTCAACCTCAACCTCCTCCTTCTCATTCTTCATATCTTTTGTAGATATAAAAATATGCAACACGTTGTTGTTGTGCTTGTTGCCAACATATGCATACTGCTGCTGCTGCTGATACAACAATACTAAACTGTAGCTGTAGTAGATTTTCAGCTTTCTTATAAAATATTTGTAATAGATTTTCTTCAACTTTAGTTACGGCTGAATTGGCTTTTTGGGTTTTTTTAACTCAGCTTCTTCGTCGCGTTTTACCTCAGTATAACGTTCGCCCTTTAGTGATACGATTTTATTATCTCTATAACGCACCAGTTTTTTCGGTTCCGTTTTTGGTGCCATTGGTTTATACTCACGTTTGGCCGAATCTTTGTCCACATAGGAATATCTGAAAGAAAAATGCACACAGAAGTGTAAATTTGCCACTATTAGATGCAGAATGTTGTTGTTAATACTAGTTACCTGGCAATAATACGATTCTTTAATTCGGTGTCGTCGGCCACAACATTTTTACGTGCCACTGTATGACTTTTATCGGTTAAACTTTGACCCGTATCCTGACGATGTAATATAGTTTGTGTAGCTCCATCAATATCACCATTAGCAATGGTAATGCAATATTTAATCTGAAAGCAAATACATCATTTTAATGGTCACTTTACATATTTCCATGTCATGTCTTTCATATCCGATCTGTTGGAGTAGAAATGTACAGATGGTCACACGATTTTTTTTATATTTTTATACCCCCCAACATAGTATGGAGGGTATATTAAGTTCGTCATTCCGTTTGTGACACCTCAAAATATACATTTTAGATCCCACAAAGTGTATATATTCTTGATCAGCATAAAATTCTATGTCGAGTTAGCGATGTCTGTGGAAATCACTCTAACTTCCGAACGAAATGAAGGAGGTTGATAAAATTGTATCAAATGTATATTATTTCTGCAGGACTTTTGGTATTGAAAATGGGCTAGGTAGGTCCACGTTTTGGTATAGCCCCCATATAACGGTACCTCCCTAAATTCGGTATTTTGATTATTTAGGAGTCATTATTCACCGGAATTGTTTCAAATGTGGTATTTGAAGTTCGTAATTGATACTACAGCCTATGACAGAAAATTGTCTGTGCAGGTCCACGTCTTCGTATGGCCCCCAAATAACGGTACATCCCTATATTCGGCATTTTGATGATTTTGGCTACATTATTCATCGATTCTCGCATTTGAATATTGTAATGGCTTATGACAAAGATTGCCTATGCAGGACCACGTCTTCGTATAGACCTTAATATAATGGCTACATTCATTTCATGTCTTTTCATTTATTTACCTTACAAAGAAATATAAATAAGCCCACAGGGCCCATAACTAATATTATCTATCTACAATACCCTAACATAATACAAATTCAATGATTAATTCAAACTTAACAAATAACAAATTAAACCTAATAATTTATCTTAATAATTCACGAGAAGCTCGAACCCTACACCTCGATTCACCATCACCAACTAAACAATAATCTAGTAGAGCAGTGAAAAAGTGTAGCAGAAACGAGCTAAAAATAAGAGTGAACTATTTTATTACTCACTAAACAGTGTATAAATAGTAACTTACATTATAACACCCTACAAATAAAAAAAACAAAAAAAAAAAAAAAAAAAAAAACCCATAATAAACCGACGCAACCACTACAAAAACATAGCCTACATATTTAGTCGAAGGTACTCAATTACTTTAATTGGTATAGGCAAAAGTACGTAAGGCCAAAGGAAGCTGATTCCACAATCTCACCGTCCTAACCACAAAGGATCTCTCACCAATGGAGGACGAAAACCTTGGACCCAACAATTGAGGATTTCGAGATGATCTACAAAACACAATTTTTTTTTTGGATTTTAAAATAATTTAGATTAGATTTTTACATAATTTTTTTTCAGAGCCACAATAAGTTTAACTTTTTGCTCCCCTACGAGAAGACCCTGACACTTTTATAAGAAGTTCTTGAGACTTCTACAAGAAGTTCTTGAGACTTCTACAAGAAGTCCTTCAGACTTCTACCAGAAGTCCTTCAGATTTCTATAAGAAGCCCTTCAGACTTCTATAAGAAGTCCTTCAGACTTCTATAAGAAGTCCTTCAGACTTCTATAAGAAGACCTTCAGACTTCTATAAGAAGTCCTTAAGACTACTACAAGAAGTCCTTGAGACTTCTACAAGTCCTTGAGACTTCTTTTAGTCTTCTACATTTTGCTCTTCTATGAGAAGAAGACCTTCTGCTCTTCTATGAGAAGAAGACCTTCTGCTCTTCTATGAAAAGAAGACCTTCTGCTCTTCTATGAGAAGAAGACCTTCTGCTCTTCTATGAGAAGAAGACCTTCTGCTCTTCTATGAGAAGGAGACCCTCGGCTCTTCCATGAGAAGGAGACCCTCGGCGAGTCAAATTTGCACATAACACTGTAATGAAATTGAAGAATACGAAGATCAACGTAGCTGCTAAATGGCAATCCCAGGAGATCATTAACAAATCAAGAAACATGATCACCGCGACGCAAACCATACACGTAACGAACAATCGGATTTACTGCCCTACGAATACGTTGCATTTAAGAAGAAGTAGTGCCGGAGACTACCTCCAGACAATAATTCACCTGCGACAACAGCAAGGATACAACCGCTCTCTTCCTAATATGAAAAGACAAATACGCGTTAAGACAATACAGCCTTCGCAACTGAAACCTTATGTGACAAAGCAAGGTATCAATGTGTCTCTTAACGTCCAATTTCCGATCAATTATAATACCAAGATATTTCATTTCATCAACGAATTCCACTAACACAGAACCCACAGAAATATTAAGAGAACCACCATTACCATAATCATTGAACAGCATAGCATTAGTTTCATTCCAATTAATCATAAGGTAGTTTTAAGATTTTAATAGAATTTTTAACGGGTTTTTATTTTTTGAAAATTGCCAAATTCGTTCCAAATGGTGGGGGGTATTTATTTAAAGTTCGGCCCGGCCGAACTTGCGACTTTTTTACTTGTTACTTAAGAAAAAAATATTTTCATACGGTATTGGCTATGGCTGAGGCATGAACGAATTTACAATTAGTGTCTCAACATAAAAACGATAAATTAAAAAAAAACTTTTTTAATGCACATTGAGAAATCAAGAAGGGGAGACGTTGCTTCAATTAAATTCTGGGATACTGCTACAGCAAACACCAAAGACATAGTTGCCAGACAGTCGTCCAGCGAGTACGAACCCATATCACCATTGGATGTATGTGGGACAATGTTTGCGAGGATTTGTTGCAACCTTAAAGAATCCAAAGTAACTCAAATCAGTCGTTACCGCTTACGGGCCTATGTCTAAATGTGATGAAAAACGCAAAAACTGAAGACTGAAACCTTTGAAATGTCAGGTGGTACCCCTATAGAAACGGGTATATAAAACAAATGGACATAGGACTTGTATCCTCTTTTAATCCGCATGTGCTGTTACATATTTTCGAGAAATCGAAAAGGTCAATAGTCGGGCGGGACCGACCGTGCGATGCCCTATGCTCTATTAGTTAAGCTACCCGTAACAAATAAATGTTTGTATTGGGATTATATCATATCAACTACAAAGTTTGTTTATGCGTGTTAAGGGTTTTATACATTTATAATTTGGAATCAGAAGGAACTAATACATGGGAGGCAAATTCAACTATGAGCCGATTTCCACCAACTTTGAAGGAGGCATTTGTACCGCCCGTACATTGCTATAGATATACATGCTGAGATGAAAAAACTGAAACCAACTTCAGACTACTGTCATTTCCAGGCCACTCGTCCGACAGCTGTTAAAATTATTCCAGCGACAGCTCTATATATTATTTACAAGCGTACAAAAGCAATTTGGTGAGAATTTCCCGTTAGAGCATTCCAGCATTTAAATGTGAATAGATCTCGTCTCTGTGTGTCTCGTACCATCGCTTGTCACCCTGATACTTGTAGCGTAGCCCGACCTCAAGGAAGTGGACGGAAGAAAACAGCAACATCAGCAGAAATGGTTCGAAAAGTAATGAAGCGATTTGATCGAAACCAAAGTCGCAGTGGCCGAAGAATGGCTCGTGAGCTGAACATATCGCAATATTCCATCCAAATATTGAATATTTCATTCGGGTAAAGCCATTGAAATTCCAAAAACTTACACAGCAGCAAAAAGAAAATAGACTAAAAAGAGCTGCTTCGCTAGGGCGAAAGTGGTGAACTGCCCTAGCGGATTTTGTTTTCTCCGATAAGAAAACATTCGTTGTCCAGCAGTTTGTTTGATCGTGTTTTCTTGCCAAAGAGGTCAGCTGAAAATGTGCACCTTCGTTTGGCCACCAGAACTCAAGCTCAGGCCTTGGTGATGGTGTGGGCCATTCCAACAGGACCATCGCACTCAGCACGCGCCACTCTAGAATGGTTACAAAATGAGGTTCCTCGCTTCATTTCTAGCACACAATGGCCACCAAAATCTCAGGATACCAATCCGTTGGACTTTTGTGTCTAGAGTATTTGAAAAGCAAGATTGGCATTAAAAAATACCAAAGTGTCGATCACCTCAAGCAAGAGCTTCGCCGGAAATGGGCCAAAATACCGCAGAGCAACATTCGGGCAGCGTGTGACGGTTTCATTGGCCCTTTGGCCCATAATTCATGCCAAAGGTGTCCAATTCGAACAAATATAAACTTATTCTAAAATTTGTTTCTTTTTTTGCTTTCATTCAATAAAATTTAAAAAAAATAAATAAAATTATGGCGTTTGACTTTGTTACAGCTTTTTTTATCTCACCCTGTATAGTGGAAAATTTGCTTCATTTATTAAGCCTTTACACCTGAGATTTTATGGGTGGGGTCAAATGCATTTCTTTTCCATATTGTTTTCAATAATGCATATTTCAATTTTTTTTAATCGAAATTGTAATTCTTTTTAATCACCAGGCACTTGAATGTTATAACTCTGTTAAGTGTTTGCTTTTTATCGTTTTGTTTGTCAGAGTATTTCTTTGTGTTGTTAGCAGTGTTAAGTTTTTAGTTAAGTTGATTTGTCTGTTTTTACGCTCAACTCGCTTTTGCAATAAGAACTGCATACACCCTTCAACTTCTATGGCTTCTTCTGCATAACTTCAAAATTAACTTACCTCAATCAATGGTGTATCCGGAAACATTTCTTCCAAAATTTTGATCTCCTGACTGTAGATGGCATTAATGTCATAACCATTATTGCCGGATACATATTCATCACTTTCAGGATATTCGTCTTTTTCCGATGAGGATGATGAATTGCGTGCTCTCAGCTTGGATTCGGGTATAATGTCCGAAAGGGAAAGTGAACTGTGTAGAGAAGAAGTGCATAAAATACGCATACATTATTAACTGTTTGGTTTCTCTATGGAAACTAGCTTCCCAAATGTAAACCTACTTCAATGATAGATTTGCAGCCGAATGTTTATCTGGATTCTTTTGCAACTCCAATAGTTCATTGGCCAACTTATATATCCAATCACATATGATGCCCTGGTCAATTGATGAGAATTCCATAAAATAGGCACTCATCATTTCCACAAATCCCTCCACATCGAAGCACGGATCCTGGGAGGCCTCCTCCAAGATGGAGATTATATACGACAGCACAATTTCATCGACCACACTGAAGTCAGCACCCGGTATATGAGCACTGACAAATTGCACCAAACTGTTCTTAACCAATTCGTGTTGTTTCTCCAAATTGGTCATTTTGTTTGCCTTTTAAATAATCAACTAAATAGCGTACTGCGTTTTAAATAAAGGAGGAAAAGAACAAAAACGGTTTAAAACAAGCACTTTTGTAATTTTTCAGAAATTTCTTGACTTTTCTGTACAATTTTTATGGTCTTCTCCCTTGGCTGTGCAGATACGTTTTGACGAAAAGTATTTGAAAATTTTTTCTCTCTATACCAGTGAATACGAAATACGGCGAGCGAATGAACCGGAGCAGAGCAGACAGCGGGCAGAACAAACCGAACAGAATGAAAAAAGGATTTTCGGTATTTTCTTCCCTTGCTCCCTTTTGATTCCTTTCACAGCTGGTTCTGGTTGCCCTCCACCATTCACACGATTTTTATTCACAATTACGTTTTGCTGTTGTTGTAGGGCTTTCGTGTTGCTCCCCAGCACCAGCACCACCATCACTACATAACCCACAAGCCAGCGACCAACCAAACCCAAAACAATTATATAGTAGCTGCACAGACAAGACACGGACAAACAGGCAGCAGTCAGCCAGGCAGGCATATAAACAAAAACAAATCATACATCACACACACCGCAAAAAAAGACAACAACACTAATTTGCACTAACTTAATACCCAGCAAACCAAATATCGAATGTCGGATAAATCTTGACAACTTTGTTGTTCGGAGAAATTAAAAAAGGTATGTGAATATTTTCGTTCATTTTATTTAGGACAGTTGTGAATTTAATTAAAGTTCTTAAAATTACTTTAAAACTCTGACAAGAGTCAAAAGAAAATTCTGATTTTCATGTAGCACTTTTTTATAAATTTAGTGTGGAGTTACCAACGAAATCTTTACATATTTGCATTTTGGCAAATCTCCAGTTTATTAAAAAAAACTTAGATTTTTCAGAAATTTGTTCCAGAGGTAGATAATTTTACACTGGTTAAGGCAAAGTAATTTATCTTCAAAGTATTTCACCAGTAGGTGAAAATGCCATGCTCATGTGATGTGTCTCATTTAAAGGATTTCGGAGTGATTGCAAAATGTATGTGAAATTATAGTTGACACACCTATCGGAAACCGGTCTCATATCAGCAGATTTTACTGAACTAGACCCTAGTTAATAAACTAGTCTTCCCAAAATAATTGTCAAGTCGACAAATTTTGACACATATTCGATTTCTGATAGTTCGGTTCGCTGGGTTTTCACATATTTATGTACACATATATTTCTTGTATGGATTTTATATTCTAATAATTCTTGCAAATGCACCATTCAATTACCCGTCTCCGTCGAATCCTCGCGCTTTGTTTATTGGCTTAATTGTTTTGACTAATTACTTCTTCAAGAGAAATTATTCTTATTTATTTTACTTTTGAAAAATTATAGTTGTTTTTGTTGCAACTTGTAATTTGTTTGAAGCCTCTCTCTGTGTTTATATATGTGCATCAATGGTAAAGAATTAACGAGAACAATGTCATTCAGCATGCCCTCCTTTCTTTTTTCCAATGCGAAATAGTTTCTTGTTATTTCAAATCACTTTGAATACATTGAATTATAATTAATTTCACAGTGTTTATTAATTCTGCTCCAGTTTAGGTTCGTGTTTTCTTTTTTGCAACCGTAAAATTCTGTTATAGAGAACCGAGTAGGGATACCTTAGTCGATATTGGGATAATACTTGGAAAAAAGTTCAAAGCGGAATGTTGATAAGAGATGCCAAGCGAAGCAATTTACTTGCATAAGTCATCGGCTTATCTTTTCTCCATAAAGAGACAAAGAAGCGTAGGGTGAACAGAAATAAATTATCAGAAGGTAGAACAAAGCTACCCTCTAAATACAATATTTTTCTTTTTGTGCCCTTATTCTGTCAAAACATATACACATTTTGATTAATGTTTTGAATAAAAAATACAATAATTTGAAATTATTTTAAATTTGGTTGCAAAATAAATGCAAATTTTAGACGAAATGGGTAGCAAATTGTACAAACTGTATTGTCCTACTATTTTAGATTCCATCTCGTGGAATAACTCCGAAATTCCATTCTTGTTTCGCTAGTCTTTCCCAATAAAAGAACTTTGTTAAAAAATAATTGAAAATAAGCAAAGCCAACTGTTACATATTTAAAAGTATATTTGATACTAAAAGATTCCAGCGCAAAGTTGAATTTTTCCAGTTTCTTTAAAGTTGAGCAACCTTTCTTGTTGAACCATGCATGGTGCAATGAAGTAAAGTTAACCTCATTTCAAATTAACGCTCCCAGCTCTGCATTTTCTGTAATTTACCTTATCAAATTTCAAGGCTTAAAAAACAGTTCCCGTCTCTGATTTTGTGTGTACACAATGTATTCATGAATATAGATTTTGACAGTGAGATGTTGTCAAATGTATAAATTTGAAAAAAAAAACTTTTAGCATATGATTACATGTCTTTACCTTCTTAGTTCTACCACGGTACAATAAGGAGGTAGAACAGCTTCGTAAAACTACAGAAATACAGCCCTGAGGATATGCCCGCTTCATGTCAGACTCATTCAAAATCATAGACAACAAGTTGTTTTCATTTTTCTCATATTTTTCCTCATTATAAAAGGGTTAAATAGCGCGAAAAATGAATGAAATGCCTGGATATTTCTCCCAAAAATGTGGTCAAAACTCTTCAATCTTTCAATTTCATGGCTAAACTGGTTAATAGCTTTAAAGCGCGAGCCGCAATTTACGTGTCTTCTAATCATTGACTTTGAAAGTATTTTGTTTCCATTTTTCAAAACAATAAATACATACACAAAATAGGCAGAAGTCGGGCTCAATAAAAAAAAATATTTATTGGTTTGAAAAATAAAGACAAAACATTGCAGAAACCATGATACAATGAAAAGATGGTATGCTAAGTTTGAAAATTTTGAATTTAAAAATGAGGAAAAATATTAAATGAATGGAAACAAATTGTTGCATTCAAATTTGACAGAAAGCGGACATAGCCTGAGGGCTGTATTTCCGTAGTTTTACGAAGCTGTTCTACCTCCTTATTGTACCATGAATAAAATGTTGCTCAACTTCAACAAACTAGTAAAAATGCAACTCTGTACCGATGTCTTATAATGTCAAAAAGATTCTTAAATATGTAACAATTGGTTTTGTTTTTAGTCATTTGTTACCAACGGCTTAATTTTCTAATTTTACAAAAAATATGTTACCTGTCTTCTGTAATTAAGAAGGTAAATTCATCTCAGCATTTTCTGTAATTTACCTTGTTAAATTTCACTGAATAAAAAACAAGTTCCCATCTCTGAAATTCTGCGTATACAATAGATTTATTAATACATTCTGCGTATACAATAGATTTATTAATATGTAATTTTGAGATGTTGTCAAATGAATAATTCATGGTACAATAAAAAGGTAAGGTAGAGCTACCAGCTGATTACTATTTTTTCTTAAGTGTGCCCGACTTCTGCCAATTTGGTCTGTTTTTCTGTAATTTTACGAAGCTGTTCTACCTTCTTATTGTACCATGGAACAATTTTGGGAAAAAACATATATTTGCTTGACTACCTTTTTTTTCTACGCTGCGTAAATATTTATGGAATTAATTTTAAAATCATTTGAAAATGATAAATGGTTCCTATATAAAAAAGATTTACCGATTTGGCAAATGAGATTACCTTGCTCATTTTGGCATGATTATATGATTATTTTAGAAATTATCAGACATGTCACAAAATCGAATGGGAATGGTTGAATTCCGTAATTCGAAATCGACCTTTTTTAGATTCTTCAGATTCCGATTGATTTGGTGAACTATGAAAATCTCGTTATTCTGTTTAAATATGCCAAAGTTACAAGTTCCAGTAAAAATTTGTACAAATTATCGAGTAAACGAACACTCCTAATAGAGTCAAACTAGCCGAAGTCATTGCTTCATTGAAATCATGGTAGAATTAAGATGCTAATGTCATACAATCATATGCTTACATTTTTTTTTTCTAAATTATTCATTTGACAACATCTCATTGTCAAAATTTACATTTATAAATCCATTGTATACACAGAAATCAAAGATGGGAACCTGCTTTTTTTATTCAGTGAAATTTGACAAGGTAAATAACAGAAAATGCAGAGATGGATAGTCTTTTTTTAATGACTTTACCTTCTTAAAGTTACCATGGATAAAATGTATGTTGCGTTTCCACTGCACTTGATTCGCTCTCTATTCGACCCTTAACTATGAAAAAACTACTTAATTCTTCACACAAAATTTCCTGAGCGAACACTCATATTTGAACATTGATCAAATCAAATCACTCTCAGAACAACGAAAAAATATGCCCCATCCCTAACAAATAAGAGCATTTATCGAAAAAATAAATTATGACATTTAAAAATTCAAAATGGAAAAATGTAATGACATTTATGAATGAAAACTACAATTTTGAATGGCGTATGTACATTCAAACGAAAGTAAATTTTGTTTTCTCTCTCATCCGAGGTACGCATTTTGTCCATGAGATGAAATTTCCACAGAAAACTGGAAACAAAAGAGGCAATATTTTCAAAATGTTTGTATCGGAAGAAAAAATGTTTGACAATACAAAAATATGTTCAAAGTTAACATTTACACAAAAAGTTGAAAACATGAATGAAAACTGTTGGTCGATCGAGTGATCCCTACATGGACAGTCTATAATTTATTTGCTGTGCCAAGGAAAATAATTAAAATTCAAAATTTGATGTTTGTGCTGTAGTAATTGGCTATTAGTATTTTGGAAACTATTTTTGGAGTTCCTTGCCATTCGCCGTTGTTGGAGTTACGTATTAATTGCTGCTTTTCTGGAGTGTCACAACCTAATATTTTTGCTGCTTTGTTTTGCCGGCTATTGCGCATAGTTACACATATTACAAAATGCCGTCTCAATTAATCTGCAATGTTTGCAATGAGCACATTGCAAAATCGAAATACAAAATTGGATGCACTGGTTGTGTGAATTTTTTTCATTTGGATTGTGCGGGTGTGTCTGAAGCTGAGGCGAGAGCTAATAAGGCTCTTAGATACACTTGTAGTGCCTGTGTGCGTTCTGCTGGTGGTGACGGTGCGTCGGGTGTTGTTGATCGTGGCATTCTTATTAATTCGGTGCCTAATTTGTCCCCTGCTGCTTGTGCCTCTGTGGTTGATGATGTTGCTGCTGGCAGTTCTGATGCTGTGCGCCGTTGGCAAGATGACTTGCTTTTGACCATGAAGAAACAGATGGACATCTATATGGACCAGTGTGTGCGTGAATTTAAAGCCAAAGCTGATGCACTTTTTGAGTTGTATAGTGTTCAAATTTCTGAGGTGAAAAGCAATTTGAATGTGCTCAGCAGATCAGTGGATGAATTGAAGTCAGCTGTTAGTGAGGTGAGAAGCACTGCTGCAAGTATGGAGGAGAGATTGTTGGGTAGAATTCGTGAGCTGGAATTGTTTAATTCTACCCTCCAGCGCAGACTGAACCGTTCTGACGTAATTATCAGAGGCCTGCCTAATAATGTTAAGGACCTTAGAGCGCAGGTTGTCAAAATTGCTAAGGTTTGTGGTTTGCAACTGGGACCCCGTGATTTGCATCATTGCTGTTACATCTCTGATCGTAGAGCGGTTCTTGTAAAGTTTAACTCTATTCAGGACAGAGATGTTTTGATGCGGAACTT